GAAAGAGAGAGAGAGAGAGCGAGAAAAAGAAGAAAACTTTTTTTTTCGTTTACCTTACAAGAAATAATTGACTAATTTATGTTAGTAAAATTTTGAAAATGAATTTTGAATAAAATTGTTAATCTCATTTTACATTGATAGTTCCTAAAGTGATGGTTACAAAAAGAGTTATTGCTCTTATCAATGCTTGATAAATTAATATGACTAAAAGTTTTGATTAAATTTTGTTTTCAATTTAATAAAATTTATTATTTTTTAAACTTAGTAATATCCGTGTTACAAATAACAAAAAGCCGGGTTGATCTTTGATCCCCAGAATAATCTCTGATCTTTGGCCAAAAAAGATCATTTTGGAACCATTGATAACGATGATAATAATGATGTAATTAATACTTAAATATGCGTATGATTTATTAATTTTTCTCTATTATTCTATTGTTTCAAAAAAAAAAAATTCTTTTACACTGTTACAGTACTTAGAAATATGGTAGTACCATATATTAGCCTTTCTTCATTTATCTCACATTTCAAATTTAACTTTCGTTTGAATCATTTTTTATATTACAAGTACCACATAAGTAGAGTTATTACATGAAGTACCCCGCTGTTCCACGATTTCCTTCCCCTCCCCGCTCCACCTCTTATAATAATAATGAGCTCTTAAGAGATTACTTCCATTGTTTGCAAGTATTCCTGCTGTGTGTTTGTATGTATGTGTGTATATGTGTATGTGTATGTGTGTGTATACGTGTGTATGTATGTGCATGTGTGTATGTGTAGGTATGTGTGTGTGTGTTATTTACAAAATGATAAATTATTCCATAAAATTATCATTTTAGTTTCATTTAGGATTTTTCAGTTTAAAGTTTAATTTATGTTTAAATTTCATCTTTAAGTATGAAATTAAATGAAATTATGAAATACAAAACATAAAATTATAAATAGTATAAAATTTAAGTATAAATTTAAACGAAATTGTTAATTAAAGCACAAATTTTAAACATAAATTATAAATTGAAACTTAAGGTATAAAATTATAAATTCTTAATTTCTAAAAGTTTTTAAAACTTTTTTTTCATAATTCGATTCAATTATTTGAAATCCATTTTTCGCGTTAAAAATGATAGTTTTCAATTGTTTTCATAGAACTGATAATATAATTTAATATCGAAAATATGGTTTTACATTTTTTTTTTTTTTGGCTAATATTTTAAACAAAAAATAAGTCGATATATCCTTTTTTTTTTTTTTTGTTCAGATTACTATATTTCCATTTTTTGAGAGCATATTTGATATTTTAATTAACTGATCGACCGAATGATCTGGTGATTAATTATTGCAAAATTTGAATTGATTATTAATTGGTAAATTAATCTTTAAATAATTAAGCAATATTGGAGTAATTTTAGATTGAGCATAAAATTTACGTGTTATAGAATATAATTTGCTCTTTTTTTTAAAATTTCACCTCAACCATACTCTTCTGTTTTTTTTTATTTTTTTATTTTTCATTAAAATAAAGGTAGGATGATGTCTTTCGTACCAATTTATGAAATTAAAATTTAATCTCATCTTTTCAAGAACTTCTAAAAAATGCCTGAAGTACCATTTTCATACATTCCAAATTCGAGGCGCTAATGTCACCTTTATTTATCTTTTCCTTCTATTGTCCATTTCATTCTTTCTTTTTTCCCTAAATAAATTCAAAAGCTATACCATCACTATTGCTATCACTGCTACTGCTTACTACTACTACTACTGTTACTACTACTACTACTATCACCACTACTAGTACTGTCATTTTTGTTATTATGCAAATTAGATTATAGCTTATTCTCATATTTGTTACAAATTACCCATTTCTCCCGCCATCTTTTCACCGCCTTCTAAATCCTATTGCTCAATAATTTTATTTCCATTCAAATGCTAATTGAAAAATGTTGATGTAAAAGCACAAATGAATCGTAAACTGGACAATTTAACTAAATATTGGACATTGAATGAAATGAGCAAAGATAAAATTAAAAAAAAAAAAAAATTGTAACATAACAATTTCATCTACAATCAAATATTTGACTTATATGAAAAAAAGAATATGCTAATTTTCTTGAGAAAATTACTTCCAACATAAATATGAATTTAATTTTTCTTTTTTTTTCTCATGTTTGAAATGACATATACAATACATATTCATAAAAAAAGAAAATATGCTGAAATGCGATAAAATATTGAATTTTGATATTAAAAGAAATTAAACCAATGAAAAAAAATATAAATTAAATTACAAAAAATTCTAAACTTTATGAAATAATTCGGAAAAAAACGCAAACGCAATTTTCGATAATTATTGTATTTACGATTTCCAGATATTCACTAGCATTTACAATTAATTTTTGAAATTTAGCAGAAGTAGTCTTCCTTTTTTTTTTTTGTTCCTTGGGAAGAAAACAAGCTGATATTTGACTTCGCCTAAATTTTGAATTTAAATTTGAAATTTTAACACTAGTCATTGGAAATTTTTCGGGAAAAAAAAGAACTCATAAATTTAATATTTGTTGAAATTCGACGAAATAACTTCCACCTGCTGAACAGGTGACATTTGCAAGCTTGTAGCAGTAAATTAGTAATGCTTAATTTGCTAAAGAATACCGAGTAATTTGAGACAACTGTTTCTTCAACTTAGTATAAGATCGAGTTAAACATTTTACAGAACAATCGTTACTCATTTGTCGTGTACATTGATTTATTGTTTTTGTTATAGCAATCGATCTTATTTGTTAAGCATTTTTTTTCTTTTTTGGTTCAATTATTTCTTTAAATCGTTAAATAAAATTAAATAAGTTAAATAGAAAGTAATTATCACACGTATTTATATGTATAATCACTTCGAACTTATCAATACCGGTTAATCTCATATTTACCAATTAATATACTCCACTATATATTACGATAATAATAAGTAATAAGTAATAATTATAATAATTAATAATAATAATAATAATAATAATAATAATAACTAATAATAATAATAATAACAGTAATAACATAACAATAATAATAATAATAATAATAAATAGTAGTAATAATAGTTGTAATCATAATAATCATAATATTGCATTTATATTGCTTCCAGTTTTCCGGGAAAAAGGAAAAAAAAGCGATAAACATCCAAGGACATTTTATTTTTCACTAATTCCTTCGTTTTTTTTTTCCTTTTCTTTTCATCTTCACCACTGACATATATACTGTAAAAAGTAGGAAACTTTCATCTACTACCACTACTACTATCATCAACCAACTTATCTAAAACTGTCAAGAGATAAAAATGATAATTGAAATAAAAATTTGAATTTCTCCAACTGGATAAAATTGATGCAAAAACTGGAATTTCCGGAAAAAAAAATTCTTGAAAATTAATTATTATTGTCTGTCTCCTTGCTATTTAATGCTTAAATTTATTTTTTTTTTTTGCGCTAAATATATGATAAGTAAAATGAAATCAGATATCAAATCAATGAATGAATGAATGAGTAAAGTTCATTTAATAGTTCATTTAATGGCTTCACAGAAGATAAATTTAATGATCCTTTTTTTTTTCTTAGTGAAAAATTCACATCAACCAAATCATTTTCCTTTGTTAATGAAATATAATTGTAAAAGCTATTAAATGTTATGTTACAAAATCGTTTATCTATTTGATATAACAACCAATACGATCCAATTTATTGCGACATTTGATATTTTTACCTTCTCAGATAACGAATATATATATATATATATATATATATATATTTCAATTATATTATTACGCACTACCAACTATTTAAATTAACACTATCCTTGAACTATAGTTTTATATTGAAAATTTATATAAAGTGTCATTAAGTTGTAAATGAGTTTATTTTATTTTTTTTTGTTGCATTTACATGACCCCGTATTAATCTAATGCAAAATAACGATACGATTAATCGCAATTAATGATTTCCTCGCAAAATGATGAAATAAAATTATCAGATTTAATTAATAAGTAGTTTGTAACAATTATTAACATTATAATAATTAATACCAACAATATGGAATCATCCGTAAATATGTTATCGGAATTGTTGTATGTATATTTATCAACATTCGAAATATAAATTTGCAACATTTGAAATTATCTCGTACAACTATTCATATGGTTACATTTTTAATGTCACCCATTTTTCAAGTAATCATTTTCATTTTAAAGATTTTCATGAAAAATAATTGAAGAAATTGTGATAATTGTAAAGAAATTATCGGGAATAAATTTATTGCATCGATGAATATTGCAATATGGTAAAATTATATCTGTTTATTTTGTTTACTTTATGGCATTTCAATTACCTTTTCTTTCTTTTCTTTTCTTTTTCCTTCTTTTTTTTTTTTTTCAAACCCTAATCAATGTAAAGTTGTCATTTTGAACAAATTGTTTCCGTCAACAAAAATGAAGGACGATGAATAACTGAAGATGGAGGAAAAATTTTTGGCTAGACAGTCTGTTTCTCAACAAAATTTTGGTAGCTAAAATTATAGTCAGTCACTTTTAACTTCTTCAATTTATCAAAATGTCTACATTCATTCATTTCAAAGTCAAAAAATCAAGTACTCATATTTCATTTCATCGAAATTCTAATGATAAAGCGGCACCAATAGATGAGAAAAATGAAAAAAAAAAAAGAAATCCTCTCCATTCTTTCGATTTTTAAATTTTAATGCCTATCAATTCGAACGGGTCAACCACTATCAACATTTATAAACTAACCGATCACTTTATCATCATCACATTTTTTTTTTTCGTTGCCTTCAATAAAAGATTTGATTTGCGTGAAAATTTTAGCTTGAAAAATGAAATAACTCCTTTCAAAACTATTTAACCGTGATATTTTTACATCGATTAAACAGGTTTTAATAGAGATAAGCATTATGAGCGGGACAAATTTCAATCAAAAGTAACCTACCATTTTCTATGACCTTTTCGATCAAGTTTTTATCAAGCAGAAAAAAAGAAAAAAAAGAAAAATGTCAAAAGCTGTTGATCGAATAATTGGGCAATTAATTAATCAACTAATTAATTAATTAGCTAAATCTTGTCCATTAAATGGTTCGTTATATAATATTAATTAATGATAGATTACAAAAAAAAAAAAAAGAGAATGTTGATAACTAGCTATTAAAATTTAGTGGAAATATTAACATTTTATTATTAACTTCGAAATTAAAACAAAGAAAATGTTATCAAATTTTATTAAAAACAAAATTGAATGATATTCTATATTATTAATTATATTTTATCATACATTTCTAAATCATAAACATTTCTTTAAATATTAAAAAGAAAGAAAAGGAAAGTGTTAATTTATGAAAATAAAAAAGAATTTTACTTTTTTTTTTTTATCTTTAATCTCAAAAACCAAAAAGCGGAAGTATTTCATGGTACTTTTCACGCATCGTTTGTATTGACAAATTACCAAAGCAGCTGCTACTCATTATTACTCCTGTAAAAAATTCTAGAAAAATTTCGATAAAATATAATATACATAAATATATATATATATAT